AAAATTAATCATTTCAATAACAATTAGGAAATGATCGACATAAAAATCGACCAATCATACAAATGTCTGCCATGCTTACAGAATCGGGTACATCAACGGTTGGTACCATCACCACTGGCATCGCTTCTTCACCATTTTGTGTCTGACCAAATGACAACACCATCCCATCCACTGCTGAACTCTGTTCTAATAATGCAAGTCTAGTCTCAAGCTCTCCAACTCTAGACTTGAGTTCAGCATTCTCAGAATCATGCCTTGCATTCTCTTCAATAATTTGCTTCAGCTTCACGTTCTCAGCCTCAACCTTAGCAAATATTAGTAACTTCCCTCTAAGTTCAGGAATCTCAGCATTCTCCTTCCTAAGCTCTGCAATCTCAGCTAAGAGCTTGGCATTTAATTTTCTCAATGAATCAATGGATTGCATGTTCAATGATAATTTTTTATATGAGATGGAATAATTCAAAAGTTCGTTAGCATAGATATAAACGAGGCAATGCCTCATCAGAATTACACTGCTTTATTGATACAGAAAATAAATTACATGATTCGAAGATACATAGACTTGTTTTACAAAGTGAAATGGCGGTTCTATACTAATAACTACAGACCACACCAGTGCTTCGTTCATCTAAACTATCTGTACTAAAATAATATCCCAACATTAACTTTAATCCGATTTCATTTGTCCTCAAATTGATATTCTGGATAGAATAAATGGTCATCAGTTATGCATAGAACATGCAGAGTCAGAAATAAATTAAACAGTGTTGACCTCAGTAAAACTCACCAAAAAGTTTTATGGTTTCGGTCCTTGAAAGTTCTGAACAAAAAAATAGGTATTAGCTCTGCAAGCTCTGAGTCGCTTCCCCGCAAATGTGAAAAAATATATTTCATTCATATCTTAATTGCGAAATGACTCGTCCGTACTTCAATAATTTTTCCATTCAAATTGCGATAGGCCGGTTTCTTTTTGAAGAGCGCTACTGCGCTTGATTTATTTGTAGTAAAAAAAGCCACACTGATTAGTCAAATACGGTCAAAATGTCAAATCGTATGACCACTCGTACGACGTAACATTAATTCAACTTTTTTTTAATAAATACCGAGAATTCGTCGGAGTCAAAATCTAATGAGTAAGATAAAACCGTATTAATCATTTTTTTCGCGAACTGATAAATTACTTTTTACTATGCTTGTCGGGGTATCTATATTATTTACTGTATTACGTAACAACAAGCCACAAAAAGTTTATCAAGAGTCTAGTCACGATGTCAAAAAAGTATATATACTCAAACTTTTTCAGATTTTCTCAAAACTTTGTTAATACTTAAGTCTTCTGAAAAAAAAAAATACATTTTATTACTTTACAGTATCGTATCCAAAATGGTAATGTCGATAAATTGTATACTCTTAGGAGATTATTCTTTAAGAGATACTTTTGCGATTAACGTTTGTGAAATCAACCCTACTGGTACTGCTCAAGTCAAATATGATGAACTAAAAATTGATGACCTCAAGTATCTTATTTGGGACAAGAAAAAAGCCACGTTTGGAGACTTTGATTCTGACCGTATTAACCTTTGGAAGGTTAATATCGCTTTTAGTGATATAGTCAAGCTCAAAGATGTTACTGAAGAACAAATCAACAATAATTTTAGTGGCGAGGAGTTGTTTCCTATCTGTTTTTTTACAGATTATTTTCAAAAAGTTGACAAGAAGAACATACACGTCATCGTAGTAATTGCCACTGGTAAGTGTCTCCCAACGTTTTACCTCTCGAACAAGAAATTTGCGGTAACAAAATATCGATTTGGTCTGACGCACGAATTTCTGTTATTTATTTAATATCGGATATTCCAGATTATTACCCACCAAAAAAGCGCCCTAAAATAATCAAAGGTATGTTATAATAATTTTAAGCGCCTATCTTTTGTGCTGAACACAATGCTAATCTTCACTTTCCAGCTCTCGAAGGGGAGGATGTGGAGGATGTGAAGAATGTGAAGACTATGACATGGAATGAACAATCAGATGGTAAGCTTTTCCTTACAAGCTTGTTAATTAATTACTATTATTTATTAACATATATTACATATATTGTACAATAAAGCAATCAAAAGTGCCTTAGATGAACCTCCCATAATAATTGACAATGGAGCCTATTCTCTAGGCGAATCAGAATTTAAAAAGTTTGTGACTTCGGGTACTTTCGTTGATAAATCTCTCTTTATAATGGAGTTTATGATCTATGGACAACGGGCCAATCTGATTACTCGCCCTCGTCGGTTCGGAAAATCAACCAATCTTTCGATGCTTGAAACTTTCCTTTCAACGGATTATCCTTCATTAAATTATGTACCAGATGTAAAAACATCGTTGTTTGGGAAATTAAAAGTTGCTAGATTCGAATGGTTTGCTAAGTTGTACTACAAACAGTGGCCCGTAATTCACATTAGCTTCAAGGTAAGCAAGCCTGGTGTAACCTACTATTACATAAATAACTAACAAGACTTACTTTTACTAGGATCTTCGCAGTAAATCCTGGGAAATAATGCAAGAAGACATAAAGGAAAGAATTTCAGTTCTATACGGAGAACATAAATATCTTATTGACTCTTTCTCTCTTCCAGAGGATATGAAAGATGATTTTATGAAAGTACTCAGAAAAGAAACAAAAGATAATGCATCTTGGACATATGCTCTTTCTAATTTAGCACGTTATCTTAACAAGTGCTTTGAAAAGAGTTCCATTATTCTAATCGATGAATACGACTGGCCTATGGAAAATGCAAGAGGATTTTATGATAATGTTCACGATTTTTTTAAAACGATGTACTCAAGTATAGCTAAGGTAAGCATATGTATTGTAATTAACTGATTGCATACATGCTTGTTAAAACTATAAAATTTCTATGCAGGAAAATAAGTACGTGCATAAGATCCTGTTTGTTGGGACTCTCCCACTAGGACAATCAAGCTTTCTTTCCGGATTAAACAATGTAGTGGCCTATCCAATGCATGAAAAACCAAACCATTCTGGCCGTGCTATTTTCTCTGATACATTTGGATTTACCGAAAAGGAAATTAATTCTTTGCTAGAAAGAAAAAATCAAATTGAAAAACTTGATGAGCTACGTCTATACTATAATGGATACCAAACGAGCACTAATGTACACATTTACAATCCACATTCAGTAATATCGTATCTAGAGAAAAATGAAATTGATAATTATTGGACCAATAGCAGTTCTTCAATCACACTTGTAGAACACCTAAAAAAGTGTGGGTCAGGAGTCAAAGATCAGCTCCATAATATTATCCATTCCCATTCCTTCGAGTCTATAGGTCAAGATGAGTCTGTAGTAGGTCTAAATGTGATGTTAATGCCATATATCCGATACAATGACTTTTATACGAAGCCAGAGCCAGAGATAGACACATTATGTACTTTATTATACTATAGTGGTTACTTGACTGTGGTTCCAGGATCTTTGACTGGTCATACTGTGAAAAATGTTGATCTAGTAATCCCAAATAGAGAGATAGCAAACCAATGGATTTTGTGGATTTTTGAGGTATTGGGTATGGAATATGCCAAGACAAACAAAATCTACGAATCATTGTTTAAAAAAGATATTGCTACATTTTGTAACAAATTTCCACCACTTTATATGGAGTTGGTATCTTGTTTTGATATTGGCAATCTCAAAAAAGGTGATTTATATGAAACCTGGTACCATATATTTGTTCTCGGAGCACTTGCTATGTACCACGGTGTTGAATACCGGGTTGAATCTAATCGTGAAGCTGGGGGGGGGGGGGGGTCCAGATGTCCGAATCATTCCAAATGTCCAAAATAAAACCCTTAGCATAACATATGAATTTAAGCGTACTGTAAGTGATGACTCTGATATAATGAAAGATGCCACCAAGAAAGCGCTAAAACAAATCGTTGATAATAATTACCGGATGAATCTTCCAGAACATGTTAAGGAAATAGTTGAAGTTGGCATAGCCTTCTGTGATAAAGTAGCTTTTGTATCAGCCCGTTGCCTAAAACGTAATAAAGAAGGAATTACAACGAATGAAGATTGGGAAGTTGTTAGTGAATGGGAAACTGGAAAGGTTGAATAATGAAAGAGTAGGAACCATTATCACATTGCATTACTGCGTCTGTCAAATTAGTCGTTTACATACTAATTTTTATATAGTTTATTGCAAATTGCGCACTTCATTAATTAATTATAGTAAAGTTGTAAATTAGCATTTATTGAAAATTGTAACAATCAAATAAAAATTAGCAGAGATAGAAGATAAAACAATACTTCTGACTCGCTACCTTTATATTTTTGCATTCACTCAGCCACATTTACAGTGAACATCTTTGATCACAATTTCCTTTTTTTTAATGCACGTAAAACTGAGTATATGCAGACAATTGCTTGTTCTCTCATCTAACTACGGCACATTTATTTTTTTAATTTCCGAATCGATAGCATTAAAACACGTACGTTGTCGCATTATTACATCATAGGTGCAACCGTGAAGAATCTTCACGATAGAAAATCACGTGAGTATTCGGGTCAAATTAATAAAACGTTTCTTAAGCATCCACATCTCCATCTTTTTTTTTTACAGCAAATAAGAGCTTTGACGCCAAGAAAAATTTTTTATTATTACATGCGAAAAAATAAATACAAGTTTGGGACTGCCCTGTGATACATATTATCCGGTATCCCGTGATTTTTTATAATTAATGATGACTATAATAAATCGGTTATCAGGCAAAAAATCGTTATCAGGCATTAATAACTTGTATTAATAAAATTACATTTACAATTTGTATAATAAGTTTTATTTATAATTATTTTTTTTCCCTTTCTTTTTCTT